TCATTTCAAACTGTTAATTAATTTAATAGTCAAATACTATTTTCAATATTATTTCATTCATGAATAGTTAATTGTTATTAATTTCGTCAATATTGTTATTAAAAATACATCTCATGTTTTTAGACGCATAGGTCAAGTCCAAATTTAGGACGCCACCCAGTTGTATTCTGGTCTTGTAGAAAATTCAGCCATTTTGACTATTTCTGGAAGCGTTCTGGTTTTGGACTAAATTAAACTTTATATAGCAAATATTGATTCTTTATCACTATATTTGTAGGTAAGTTGTCAATTTGTGTGTTTAGAAACTTGTTATAAGCTTATCTTAATTTGTTAAATTTGTCATTCATTTTTAATTGTCAGGATTTTGAACAAATGTTTGCCCCACCACATTTTTATAGTGCGTGCTTAAGGTTATCTCCCTTTCAAATATGGCGGCCTCCATTTGTTTACATTTCTTGTTTCCGGGTTTGCTATCAAAATTCTGATGCAAGTGTTCTCAATTATATTATGTATTTGTTTTTATAACATTTATTCTAATTGAGAACATCTTCATAGAGTTAAAATATGTATTTGCTATATTATAACAAAATTACTGCAATGTTATTGTTAGGGAAAATTGCCTTATGTAGTAAATGAGTCATTTTAATTCCTTTCCCTTATATTGCAATTTAGATTATTGTTAACCTTTTCTATGCCTAGTCCTAGTGTGTTTATAGATTTATTCAGATTCTGTTATCTGATTTAATGGCCAACTTAATTAGCACAAGACTATAGGTACTAATCCAGCTGGTAATATTATTCTCTTTAATGTTGTCAGTGCATCAAGTTGAAATAATTAATGTATTATATGGGTTACTTTATCAATTGTTATAAACAAATATTGTATTTCTGAACTCCTGGTTCAGTTCTGGTTTTGGACTAAATGAAACTTTATATAGCAAATATTGATTCTTTATCACTATATTTTGTAGGATACTACTGTGTTTATCCTGAGCACCAACTATAGCAAAATAACCCGTTATATTACAACCACCATCCCACTTCTTACCCCTAGACGTAATAGAAGAGGGCCCTGGAGGTTACATGAGCACTATAGAGACTACAGTTTTTATCTGATTTTGATAAAACTTGGTGTGATGCTTTAGATTGATAAGATCTCGGTCAAGTTCGAATTTGACATATTTTTGATGAACGGTTTTTGAGATATTGCCCTTGACTTAGAACGTCTTGAAATTTGTTAAAAATTGTTTGTGAGCAGGATTGAAGCTACAGTTTTGATTCTGATGAAACTTGGTGTGATCATTGAAATTGATAAGATCTCGGACAACTTCTAACTTGACGCATTTTCGATGAACTGTTTTTGAGTTATTTCCCTTGACTTTGTTAAAACGCCTCGAAATTTGTTAAAAAAATAGTTCGTGAGCAGGATTGAAGCTTCAGTTTTCAACCGATTCTGATGAAACTTGGTTTGATCATTGGAATTGATAAGATCTCGGACAAGTTCTAACTTGAAGCATTTTCGATTAATGGTTTTTGAGTTATTGCCCTTGACTTTGTTAAAACGTGTCAAAGTTTGTTTGGAGCACAATAGAAGCTACAGTTTTCAACCGATTCTAATGAAACCTGGTGTGATCATTGAAATTGATAAGATCTCGGACAAGTTTTAACTTGACACATATTCGCTAAACGGTTTTTGAGTTACTGCCCTTGACTTTGTAAAAACGCGTCAAAAATGTGTTTGTGAGCACTATAGCAGCTACAGTTTTCAACCAAATTTGATCAAACTTGGTATGATCATTGGAATTGATAAGATCTCGGACAAATTCTAACTTGTGATATTTTTGATGAACTTTTTTTGAGTTATTGCCCTTTACTTTATAAACACACGTCAAAAGTTGTTTTTTGCCCTTGATTAGAGCTGTGTGATTTAATTGTTTGTTGTATTTGGGTTATTGATATTGATTTTAAAGACTGTTTTATCATTTCTGACAGCTGCCAGTGGGCGTATGTTACCTTGCCTCGCAAGCTATCTTTCTTTGCTGTATTGTTAATTTACACATCAAATATGAAAATTATTTTATTATGACTTAGCAGTCTGAAGTGACAAGAGTAAAGTTGACATTTATTTTATTTACGAATTTCGTCATTCAGATCCGGTTTTCTGGGAATTACCCATTGAAATGTACTAATAGATATATCAGTCGTCAGGTGGGAATAAATGAGATGTCACATTTGATGACAGGTGATGACTATATAAGTATTTTTTTTCATTTATCGTCTAACGGTTCTTGAGGTTATATCAGAAATAAAATCTCATTTCCTGCATTTAAAAAAAAAGACATGTGCGTCTTTTGAAAATTTGTACATCTTAAAGATGCTAGAATTAATTCTAAACCTGGTTTCAAGCTATCATACAGTGAACAAAAATTATTTTCCAAGGCGGTTTATCTTTTCTAAATGTAGTTGTGCATCTGCTTTTTGAGAAGAAAAAACCTTCAATATATGAATGTACTTATTCGTGGATTGTTACAAGTATTATTATTGTCATGAATATCCTTAACCTCGTAATTTACTGTATTGTTATTATGATGATACCAGTTATGCATTGATGAAATCTAGATCGGCTTCGAATATGAAGATATCTCAATGAAGGATTACCCTTAAATTGGTAAACACGTGTAAAGTTGAGCTTGTAACGGTGGGCAAAGTTGTTATCCAATATTGATGAAACATGCACATTGACAAGATCTCGGTCCATACCAAACTTATCGATATCAACAGTTTTAAACTTATAGCTCTTGAGTTACTTAAAGAAAAGGCACGCCGAAGGTAGAATGTAGTTTAGTTTGACCCCCTCCCTCAATATATAAAACTTATACGTTTATGGTTGGGATCTTAGTACAGTTAGTACAAAAAATACTATAATTTGATCAACAGTTGTTTAGAACTTTCGATACCACTCTATAGTTTTCATCTGACTTTAAAGAGTACTACCTCTTAGAATGAAAATTAAGTTGATTTTGGTCAATAAGAGTACACTATTTCAATTGAACTTGGTGCCATGACGACAGAATAGAATCTCTATATAAATTATTATATATTATATTATGTTAAAAATTTCTAAGCGTATTTCAAATTACTTACTTTAATAGATTATCACTTATTTTAATGAATTTATTGGATTATTGAGGGATTCTGTTGTACAGTTTTGATACCAGGTGAGTCCACTGATATCCAAAGACTTATTTTGGCCAAGTTTGAAAAATGCAATTTTTTTGTCATTTTAAGAGGTAGTATGTGTTTAATAGAGCTTGATATGCATATGGCTGAGATAAAATATATAATTCAGCCGCAATGAAGGAAATATTACGAATCTAGCCTTGAAATGATATTGCATACCTTCTATAGTATAGTATAGTTTTTTTTATTTATTGACCTAAATTGAGTAAAAATATGCCAAAATTTCGACAAGAAAATGCGCGTGTCTATCTTATTATAAGGCTGCGATTACATGTGTACGCAAACTCAAACTCAATAAAAAATGGACCTATCCTATCCAATTCCTTAGTAAATCCAATTTTCTGCTTACATGTGTCCTCAAACTCAAACTCAACTCCTCCGTATGCGGAACGGCTGGCTAAGTTGTCTATATTTTGGGTTTGAGGAAGCCTACGGACAGCTTTACCCCCTATATGACATCATTACTGAAGTGGACCTTCATCTCCTGTGTTCATTGACTCAATACCACTCAATTTCTTTTATACCATGACAGTATTGTGGATTCACGTTTTGAGTTTGAGTTTGAGTGACGCTTACGTATACATGTCATCGCAGCCTAACATGTTTTAAGTTGGGATCGAAACAAGTGGTAGATATAAAACGATTTGGTAAGCATCTTCATTGTATAGAAGCTATCACTCTCGACAAAGCTTTCATATATTTGATCTTGAAGTCAGTTAACATGAAATCTATTTCTTTATATAAAAACATATCAAACTTAGCTCGGCTGGTAGCTTAGACAATGAATTTCTGGGTTTAGGCAGAAAATATCAAACAAGATAGTTATTTTAACCCCCCCCCCCCCCCTTCGTGACCTTAGAAAAATGATTTGCTCCCTACTTCTTTCGCTAGTTTGTAAAATAGCTAGAGGACTGTGTCTACTGAGGCAGAAAGTTGAAAGAATGGTGTATCCTCCACTTTGTGGTCGTCTTTCCTGAACACTTAAAATGGGATCATTTTTATACGTCCACATTGCTTCATCCATGACTGACGGAGGGTCAAATGTATGGTACAAATTTGTACCTTTCGAAAATCTAAAATGTATTAAATATGAGTTATTGGCTTTGCTTTTCGAAAAAAGGTTTTATTTCTAGCAGAAAAATACCAGTTTGGTATTACTTATGGAAGAGCCCTATAGAAAACCGAAAAAATTCTGCAAGATATGTATGAGTAAAGGAGTAATATTTCATACTGGTGATGGTTACCATTCTGCCAAATGATTTAATTTAACAAAGATAGCGTATGAGGCTTTTTCTGTTAACCACATAAAACACAAATTCCCCTGTGCCCTTAAGGTTAACTCACAAAGGCGTCTCATAGATGTAACAATTGGGTTAGCAAATATAGGTGTTTTTTTTTATCAAGCACTGAAAACGGTTTAAAAAATGTACTATTCACTAAATGAAGATGCCAAATCCGGGTTTAGACTATGTATCTACTTCAATTTTGCAGTGACAGAGTAGGTGTTCTTAGTTAAAAACAGGATACAATTTAGAATTGAGTTTTTATGGCCAAAAAGTCTAATCAAAGAATTTATTATGCTAATTTTCGAAAATTCTATTTACTATAAAATCAAATAAAAAGTAACAATGTTTACACATCACATCAAATTGCTGGTAAATCTGACACCAAATATTGACAATTCTTACTTCCGCCAAGAACCCGGAGATTGCTGAGTATATAGGGTGAAACATGTTTTCCTATCAACCCCATTCCAGAATCAAAGCAGCTTAATCTTGTTGTTCATATATTTACAAAGAACAGGTAAGTATTACATGTAGTTTATTATAGTGATTTTCGAGCTGATAAAGGTTCAATTTTCAGAATTTGTTTCCATTCACTTTCTCTGAACTTACTCACTTTAAGTCTCGCTGATAACCAGTTATTAATAATGAGGTCATAATGGAGCCTTATGAACTTTACGCCAGGTTACAAGATTAATGAACTGAACGCCAGGTTGTACAAAATGGTATCATTTAAATTTGGATTGACACTACGTACAGAAGATTATTAAAAATCTTACATGTCTTCCGGCATACCTGACCATGCGAAGGTTGAAAATTACCTGAGAGTGATGTAGTCTATACTTCTACGGCAAGAGAACAGGATGTATGATTTTAATTTCTAATGATTACTTAAAATGATCTCTCTAGAATAAGAAAGAAAGCATCTTGACGACTGTACCCCTCTAATATGTGTCGGTAAACGTTCATAAATCACAATCCGAAGTACTTTCTGAATATATTTTCAGAAAGGATGAAGTTATCTTTAATCTTACTAACTGTTCTGGTACTTGGTTTGGCGAATGACACAGATGCATGGTTTTTTAGGTTTAGGAGAGTATTTCGTTGGGTAGGCAGAAATTTCCGTACGATAAAAGATGTTGGTTGCCCATTATTATGCCCTAAAGTTTGTCAGAAAACCGTCTGTAAACTTGCATGTGGCTTAGGATGTGGTCGTGGTAAGCGAGAGGCAGTGAAGGTAAGTTTTTTTCCTAAATTTCAGTCTTCATGAAACTGAGGTCAACATTTTTCCGTCAACATTTATCAGTCTGATAGTTGTCTGAAAATCTCTGTGAAAATGTCCTGTGATTCTGGAAAATCACTATTCAAGCCAAATATTATTTGCGTCATTCGCAAATTTTCGTATAATCACAGCAACCTCAGGCAGCATAGCATAAAATTTCCTCGAAGCAAACCCAAAGATGAGAAAACCGATTAGGAAATAACTTAATTTACAATTAAATCATTTGTTATTCTCGTTTCTTCATTCAAGAATTCAGAAGGTCATGTAGCACCTCTTCCTAATATGTTTAGTAGTTATGATTTTGATGATGATGGTGTAATATCTAAGGATGAACTGGCTACAGCTATCAATGAAAATATAACAGATTCCACATTCGTAGTAGCCTTCCGTTATACTGACAAAGACGGTAAGTGTTTAGGGGGACATTTCAGTTGAATTAATTTGAATTTTAATTTGGAATACATATATGGTGGTTGTTCCCGACGAGACATACGCCTCTCATATCTTATTCAGTTCAATTTATAATTTGAATATTTACATCCGCTTCTTCGTTATTTTTGATGATCATGTAAAGATTTTATATTATACCGTATACACCTGTTATTTTATTGCTCTGTTTTATTATAGGCAATGGTTTTTTATCAAAAAAGGAATTCTACAATGGACCTTTTGTTCTTGAGATGGATGTAAATGAACAAGATGGTAAGATTATGTATAAAATTTTAATTTGTTACATTTTGACTTAAAACGTTCTCTACATTAATTTATTGGATAATTCGTCATTATTGTTCTTCACGAGATGCTTTGATTGATTACACTGGGGGAGAATGGCAATGGAGACGAAAAAAATGAGGTAAAAAAAAATGTGATAAAATATTACTAAATTTTTTTAACACTCATTACGATAATCTAGAGCCCACAAACACGTAAAGCTATATTTCTATTGCTGGGTGGAAACTCTACTCCGTGCTCCGTTTTGATACATTAATCTAAATCAAAGGAAACATGGTAACAACATTCCCCTATATATTTCAAAGAGTGGAACAGAAAAAGTAAAGTAGCTAACAGATCTGTGTTACATGTGTCTATTTTTATTTCTAGATACATATTGCAAATATTTGTTTGGGATAGATGAAGACTTGGAAGAGCTTCTTACTAATGGCGAAGAAGGGTTGGGCGATGTATCTGGCATAGATGATAATTCGAACTCCACAAAGCTGGTTTCCACTGCTTCTGAGCCAGAGACTCAGAAAAAGGACAAAGTCTTATAAAGTTTGTTATCTAATAAAACTATTGTTAGCAGTTAAGAAATGTTGTCAATTTATCCATGAAATTTTGCCTACAAACATTATATTTGGCGACTCGTGATAAATGTCTAATGACAGGGAGGTTAATTAAAATTCCGTGACTGATGATAAGGTTCTTGAGATTTTCAAAACGTACAGTAGAAATAACATCTCGCGTCTTGTCAAATAGGTTAAAGGGAAATAACTGTAACATAATATGGACTAAGACCGGTAATTCATTTGCTACCGGTTTCCATATTAAATCACGAAATTCAACCTTCTATAACTTTTTCCAGAAATATCTTTGACAATTTTTCAATATGTCACATGAAAGCCTGGCCAATAGGCTACTTAGATTCTGGATATAAATTCAATATATCATGACCATGAAAATCTTGAGCTAGCCAAAAGTAGCCTAGACCACTATATCATATCAACATCGCTTGACTGTCATAGCACACAAAACGATTATTTTAAGAATTATCCTTCCGCATGAAAATCTCTCATCATCTCACAAAATCTGAAAGAAAATGCAATTTCAGACACCAGTTTCCACATCTGGACGAAAAATTATTCAAAAATAGAGATGCAAAAACCCAAAAGAGAGGGAGAAACGTCCAAACAAGGGGGCAGTTTAGGTACCCCCTCCCGGAAAACTTTGTGAATTGTTACGCATTACAGTGGTGCTCCATAGAGTTATTAGTATCTTATTGCTGCCGATGACGCTCATTGGAAGCCTGTGGACCTCCTCTAGAAAATTTGAGATTAGAGAATTGGTCTTCCTGGCGAATTTAAGGTTCAAGATTATTTGTCTGGCGTCTGTCGTATGCCGCTTAGAAAATTTTGATAATTAGACGCCCAAAAACGCGATTTCCTGACATTTTCTGACGAATTTAAGGTTCAAGATTATTTGTATAACGTCTGAGGTGTGTCTCTTTTAAAATTTTAAGAATTAGACGTACGGAAACGCCATTTCCTGATTTTTTCCGACGAATTTAAGGCCCAGGATTTTTTGTCTTATAACAATTGAATTAAAAATTAACAATTGACATTTTTCTAGGAGGGGGGGGGGGGCCTCCCTTTGGCTACGGCCCTGATTTTTGTCATCGTCGCAAGCCAAGGATCTCGTCATCCCAATATTCCGCTGGATGTTGCAGCGTTGGAAGCAGAGCTTCAATCTCTTCAAAAACAAAGACGGTATTTAACTCTTCAAAGGCAGATGTCTGCAGAAAGAAAAGCCGTAAATTATCTTGAAAAAGATGAAGAAACCGTGCCTACCAATATTATTACGGAACCTCGTGCAGTCGAGAACGGATTTGAATTCACTACCTCAAGTACAGCCCCAGAGCTTGAAAGATTACTTCAATCGCCACTTGTTCGTGATGCGCAAAAACATGCTAAAGCCTTGCAGATTATGGACTTTCTGTGGGTCGACTCTATTCCCCAGTACAGTTCATACTCCTTTGGTACAGATAGTGGTATCGAGCTCCGTGTTACTAAGAGAAAAACCCTTGATAGAGTCTCCATTGAGGAATGGGGGTATGCCAACAACCACATTTTATTGGAACTTTTGAAACAGAATCAATTAGATACTGCAGGATTCATATCTTATATCCGGTACACAAATCTTTCGCCTTGCCTCCAAGTACGTATGGTATTCGGTCCGTTTTTTGATAAGGAATACAGAGAGCATCAAGCAATGGAAAATTTTGAGTGGAGCACTCGCCGTCAAGATATTCGGGAATTCCAATTGATTCTAAAACGCGACAATCCTACAATCCGTGCCTTCCAGGATGCCAATACTATCAATGATCGTCAAAATAAGACCTATCGGGGTGGTGCAACTCGCTACATGGGCAACCAATCCGATCGACGTAAAGGACCTTTTCTCAGTGATGGTCGTGAAATTTGCAGAAATTTTAATAATGACAATTGTAACCGCGTTGACGGTAAGATGGCACACAATTGTGCATTGTGCATGTCTTCGTCTCACTCAGCAGTTGGACATACACACTCGTCAGCTAACGCCCCGACAAAAAACTACAATCGCCTTGGGATGGGGCATCAATTTTATAGACATTCGAGATACAATGAGTGAGTCGAGTCGCGCTAATTGCTTGAAATACAACGCATGGTGTAGGCTTCTACCTGATAATTTCAAAGACAGGGACTTTTCGCTTGACGGCGTACGCAACGGGTTTCTTCTCAGCAACCTTTACGGTCCCCATAAACCTGTCGACCGCAAAAACTAAAGATCAGCAACCGCTTACCATGACAAGGTTAAAATCAAATCTTGCGTGAAATTGAGCTTGGCAAATACGTAGTCAAGCCTACCATAGTCAGCTCTTTGGGAGCCATACCAAAGCCGGACGGTGGGATTCGCATTATGAACGATGCTAGTAGACCAGAGGGTCTTTCCCTTAACTCGTATACATCAGATACATCTTGCTTTGTGCTTTGTGCTTTAAGCCCAACGTTTCTTAGCTAAGGTAGACTTAAAGAGTGCATATCGGTCAGTGTTATGTAGTAAGGCTGATCATCCGTTGACAGGATTGCAGTGGACTTTTAAAGGCCGTAACACCCCTACTTACATGTTCGATCGCAAGCTACCCTTTGGACATTCTCGCAGTCCAATGCTTTTTCAACTGCCGTGTGTAACATTATGCTAACTCGTTACAATGTGACATGTATTGTATACCTTGATGATTTCCTGATTATCGAAGATGATTTTGATAAGTCTAATAAAGGGCTACAACTCCTACTTATAACCTTACGCGACTTAGGATTCAATATAAATTGGTCCAAGGTGGAAGGCCCCGTCAAGCATTTAGTTTTTTTAGACATAGCGATCGACACTGAGCGCCTTACTTTAACCCTTCCACCGCCAAAACAAGCTGAGCTTTTGGAAGTGTTGCAATCATTTTTGTTTCGAAAACGCGCTAGTGTAAAGCAACTTATGTCCTTATGTGGAAAATTAAATTGGGCTAGCCAAGTGATTAAAGGGATGCGACGACTTTTTGATACAGTGTCACCTTTTAGTGATCGAAATGCAAAAGTGTTACTTGGCGAATTTTTTTTTCGATGATTTAGTGTGGTGAATTAAATTCCTCCGAATTTTCAATGGGTCGGTAAAATTTATTGATCCTAAGCGTATAACTACTGTGTTTACGGATGCGTCTTCGGATGGTTGTGGCGGTGTCTTCCAAGGTGATTTTTTCTATACAAATTGGAATCTGGATTTGCCCATAATTGCCACTGATCACATTAATATCAAAGAAACCTTATCAGTGGTTCTTTCTGCGATACCTTGGGGACCTCAGTGGCAAAACAAGAAAGTAATTGTGAACACAATTGTGAAGACAATATGACAACCAAGTATGTGTTAAACAAAGGAACATCTCGCAATCGTACCTTGATGTGCTTCTTGCGATTTCTGTTTTGGTTGTCAGCCATATTTAACTTTGACTTAGTAGCCAGATATATCCCTGGTCGACTTAATGTTGCTGCTGATGCTGCTTCGAGGCTACATGAACCAGAGGTAGGTAGGTAGGTAGATGACAAGTTAACGTTCGCTTCCAGCGGATGCTGATATCGCAAACTAGGTAGTTGTTGGTAGTCGTAGTAGTTGGTAGTTGGATTGGATCAAATTGGATGATTCGGTGTTGTTGGTTTGGTTGTTGATTCTTCGTTAGATCTGGTCGGGTCGAATGACATGGCGGTGAAACTGGGCCCTGGATGGTGTGGCGTGAGTTACTCGGTCTCCTTCATTCTTCCAAACTCGTTCTGATCATGGTATTTCTTGTTGATTGGTAGTCGAATGGTAGTCGTTGGTTTGGTTTGTTTTGGTTAGATTATCTGTTATCTGTTGGAAAACTCGAAGACCTGAAAAAAAAAAGAAAGAAAGTGAGAAAAAGAAAGTGAGAAAAAGAGGGAGGAAAGGGGGGGGGGGGGGGAGCTTTCACAAAAGGGGGGAGAGATGTTCTCTAATGTTTCTGCAATGAAACTTGTTAAATTGATTGGATATAATTAAAAAGTGTTAAGAAACTTTGAGTAAAAAAAACTTAGCCTATCTGTTGAAGACAGATTTGGTTATAAAATGGAAGACTAGTTCCATTATCGTATACCAGTGGTCCGTGGGTGGAGCCAAAACATTCTGTATGGTTAGTGGTATGCCGTTGGTTTCCAGGTACTCTAGTAGTGGCTTACGAGCGGGTTTCAGTTCAGTGCATTGAATGAGGACATGCGACCTTGTGGCAACGTGGCCGCAGCGACATTTAATGGCGTTGAACTGGTGGTCTCGTAGTACGTTGTTGGTCCGGAGTCTGGACCACGGCATGCTCCGTGTGATTGACGGACAGCCATGTTACCGCGTCCCTGATGGCAAAAAGTTCTGCTGTGAACACTGAACAGTGCGGGGGGATCCTTTTACTGATGCGGGTGCCTTTTGCTGGGATGCACAAACCGTAACCTGTTGCGGTACTACTCTTGGAACCATCGGTGTAGATCTTCAAATGGTCGGCGTACACGGAATCAATCAGATCAAGAGCGCGAGCTCTTGCTCCTACTGGGTTCTCGTGCTTGTTGGTACTCTGGATCAGCTGGGTGTTGACTGTCGGGTTGGTAACCTTCCCAAACGGAGTAGCCGATAGGCGTCGTTCAAGGATCGTTACTTGATCGAGCTGATGCTCTCTCAATAGATCAGTGACCGCTTGCCCGTAAGAAATACTCCGATTCTTCTGGTTATTTCCGACACGAGTAAATCTTCTGATGCTGGAATACGTCGGACAGCTTTCGGACAAATACTGAAGTTTCCCCCAGAATTTGAGAGATAGCTCCTCCCTCCGAAGAGAGAGGGGTTTCTCTCCCACCTCCTGAAGTAGCGCCTCATTCTTCGTACCTACAGCTGCCCTGGTGGCAATACGTATAGCTTTCATGTGTAGAACGTCGAGTTTCTTCAGTTGAGTATCACTTGCTTTACCATAGGCAATACAACCATAATCAATAACTGAACGAACCAGTGACCTGTACATCATCATTAGAGTTTCTCTGTTTGCTCCCCATGTGGTACCTGAAACATAACGCATAACATTTAAGATTTTTGTAGACCGGTTACAGATATAGTCAATGTGCGTACTCCAAGTCAGACACCTGTCAAAGTGTACTCCCAGGAACCTTACTGAATTCTCATGCTTAATCTTCACACCATTCAGTCTAAGGTCAATACTGTCGTGATCTTTCTTTCTGCTGCAGAACAAACCGACGGTTTTAGCTGCCGAAATAATGAAGCCCCAGTCGTTTGCCCATTTAGCAACTTGGTTCAGAGCAGTTTGCATACGCCATTTAACTTTATTGAGGTCATTGTGACCAGTCCATATCGAACTGTCATCTGCATATAGAGCCGTGCTAACCGAGAGCTCTATATGCTTTACATAATCCAGGGCCAGATCATTGATCATAATGCTGAAGAGGGTAGGGCTAATAACAGAGCCTTGCGGGGTGCCATTCTCCAACGAGTGCTTCTCGCTGACGTTCACTTGTATCTGGCGATCCCTTAAGAAGTCTTGGATCCACCTGAACATGCGACCCCGAATGCCAAGTTTATTAAGTTTAAAAAGCAAACCATCAACCCAGACTAAGTCAAAGGCCTTGGACAGATCCAGGAATACTGCACTGAAGTAGTTCTTCTTTCCGAATTGGGCGGCCATGTCGTGTTGAAGTCGAACGATTTGATCCATTGTTGACCGTTTCTCTCTGTAGCCGCTTTGGTTGGTATCGATAAGACCATTTAGTTCACAGTGGTATCTAAGTCTATTATTGACCATCGTCTCAAATGTTTTACATAGAGTCGAGGTCAGAGAAATAGGCCTGTATGAACTGCATAGACTTTTATCTTTCTGCGGTTTTGGTAGAGGAATGACCATTGCCGTTTTCCAACTTTCCGGAATTGTACCATAATACCATGATTTGTTGAATAATTCTAGTAGAACTGTAGACGCTTCCATTGGTAACTCCTTTAACATGCTGTACTTGATATTATCTTCACCAGTAGCGCTGTCTTTCTTACTGCACAGTGCTTTCTTCAGCTCGTCGAGGGTGAAGGGAGCGTTAAGAGCCCGTTCATCCTCTAAGGGCGAATGGTGAATTGGAGTGTGGTTGGTGTAGAAGGTCTTCTTGTTCTTTAGAAATTCTTTGGTATGGTTGGTATCAGCACTGCCGTCAGCATAACACTTGGCTAACAAATTGGCTTTTCCTTCATTGCTGTATTCTGTGGAATCCCTGTAACAAAGAGTTGGAATGGAAGAATTAGATTTTTTACCAAGCATTGAGTCTATTTTACCCCAGACAGATCTTAGGTTGGTCTTCTCATTTAATGAGTTGCAGAACTCCTGCCAGTGCTTTGTTTGTGATTCACGCAACAGAGCAGCTGTAGAAGCCTTGACCGCTAAGTATTCTGCCTTGATATAACGGTCCGATTTCCTCTGAAACCGTCGTAGAGCCCGCTTGCGAGCATCCACGGCAGCCTGGAGTTCATCGGACCACCAGGACTTGGGTGACCTACGTGCAATGCCATCCTTAGTCCGGGGAATAGAGCCCATAGCAGCATCAGTAATAACCTGAGTCAACTTCCCAGAAAAACTAGAGACGTCCTCGTCCCTTGCCAGATCTAGCTTGGAACGAGTGAAATGACGCCTAAAGAAATCCCAGTTAGCCTTCCCTAGTCTCCATTTGCCTTGACACATGACTTCCTCCTTCACAACATTGCGTGACAGCGTGATTTCAATGACAACATGGTCACTTCCAAGGGTCTCACTGGTTGCTTCCCACGTACAGTCTTTAGCTAACCGACTGCTTACTAATGTGAGATCGAGATGCGAACCAAGAGGAGCAATTGCACCAACATAAGTAATGCTACCATCATTTATGCTAACCAGGTCATTGGCCTCAATGAACTCAGCAATTTGTCTACTATTAGTGTCAGTTGTTGGCGAGCCCCACAATACGTGTTTGGCGTTAAAATCACCAAGCACAATATTGTCGGTCCCGGGCAACTGATCGTAAACATACTGATATTCACTGAATCGTTGAGGTTTGCCTTTGACTTCGGGTCGATAAATATTAACGATAGAAAAAACCTTTGACTTGTCGGTAAAGGATACCGCCTGTGCCTCCAGAGGAGCGATGGTTTTCAGAGGAACCTCACTATGGGATATACCATTTTTGATGTAGATGGCCAGACCCCCACCACTTCGATGGTTGAGAGCATTAGGTCTGTTTAATCTGATCAAAGTATAACCATTGATGATAGGGTCCTTATTCCTTGAACCGAGCTTGGACTCTTGGAGAAAAACGGCATCATACTGCTTCCTTTGTAGTAGCTGTACCAGTTGGGTCTTTCGTTCAGGTACGTTCAAACCATTGATGTTCAGCTGTATGAACCTGAAATTGAATGTAAAATAATTAATGACTTTATGGATCAGTATGGTTTTAGCATGGGGTTTGGGGTGCCGTAAAAACCTCTACGTCCATTTCAGTTACTGAGCCAGTGGGCAGTGGTCTAGCTAGCGAAGTGCTTCTAGAGCGCTCAGTCACGGGTCTGGAGCCTGTACTTCTGCAAATGCTCCTTGACTGACGAGGTTGGCCACTCGTGGATACCGCCTTTACTTTTCTTGGCGTTTCCACTGATTGACCCACTACGTCAGTCTTCGGAACATCCGTGCTGGATCTCTTCCTCTTTGGTTTGGTATCCTTATTTGGTGGTTGTAGATTCGTGACATTGTCGGCACATACTTTTGATACTGCGTCCATGACGTCCTTTGGATTGATTTCACCAGCCATGAACCAGATCAACTCAGTCGACTTTATAGCGTTTTGGGAAGTTATGATCTTTTCTTCCACGCTTCAGAACTTCTCAACCATGTGACACCTTTGTTTTTTAATTATAGGTGGGATTCCCCGAGAATGGGGCTTGAACCGGCTATATTTAACAGTGGAACGGCTAACACTACTCGCAAAACTTACATAACACACCTTTAAGACCTTTAAGGACTTTTGTAGGCAATATGCTCTTCCAGTGTTTCCTGTCAAAAATGCTACTATAGAAATGTATATAGCTTATCTTGTTAATGTCAAACACTTTACTTATAGCAGTATTAGATCTTATTTGAATATTATTTCATTGTTATATAAGTCGAACAATTTAACCGATCCTATTCAGAGCTGGACTGTTCAATATTATTATTGACTGGCGTCAAGCGAGAACTAGGGGCAGGTCAAAACTGTAAAACACCTGTCACGCCTACTTTGCTTCTTAAAATCCATGTGGGTTTGGATTTAAAAAACTATAGCAACAAAATTTTTTGGGCTGCTTATTTGCTTGTTTTTTTTGGCTTCCTTAGACCGATTAATTTTCTTACTAAGGACCATTTTGATCCGGCTGTTGATATACAACGACGCCATGTACAGATTACAAATAAAGGTTTAATTGTTCGACTTAAAGTCACTAAAACTATTCAGTTTCGCACTAAGGATATCTTTGTATTATTGCCTCATTTGCAAGATCACCCGCTGCGCTTCATAATATCTTATGCCTTCCAGGTACTCCGCTTTCCCCGCTCCTTTTGTTGCAAAATGGCTCTTTCCTGAGTTACAATACTCTTTTGCGATCTTTTCAGTATATTTTGCATGGCATTGGGTTAAACTATAAACTCTATGGCGGACGCTCCTTTCGCCGTGGTGCCGCCTCTTGGACATCCTCTGTCGGTTTAAGCGATAGCAATATCAAACTCCTGAGCTATTGGTCCAGTGAGTGCTTCCAGCGTTATGTGCATTCCGATCTACATCTTCGCCAGCAGGCTATACATAATTTTTCATGCTTAATCCCTAAAACACTTTAAACAATAGACACAACGTCATTTTTTATACAAGAACGTGTGGATTTGGGATTGTATGTTGTAAAAATGTTTCGAAATTTTTTTTATATGTATTGTATGTAATTTTCATTCATTGTTCAATTACTTGCTTTTATTGCATTGGATTATTACTTGAAAATGTAATAAATGTTTAGCCACTTTCATATTTTATTTCAATCCTATTGTGTAGCTTTTGCAACTTATTGAACGAAGGACAAAGGGTTAAAGTGAAAATTTTGTTAATTCTAATTTTAACTATGACCTGTAGTGTACTCGCTGACCTGACCTGACCTGACCCGACCTTCACGCATATTCATAAGCTAGCCTCGTTTTGTTTATAGCCTTGCTTGCCTTGTTATGCAGTTAGCGTGCTAAGCCTTGATCGCTTATTAGTTTTAAAACCCTCTCACCCTCCCAGTAGTATTACTGAGTGTTAACGCTTAATTAATATGCTTTATTTGGGATTGTATGTTGTAAAAATGTTTCGATATTTGTTTTTATATGTATTGTATGTAATTTTCATTCATTGTTCAATTACTTGTTTTTATTGCATTGGATTATTACTTGAAAATGTAATAAATGTTTAGCCACTTCATATTTTATTTCAATCCTATTTTGCAGCTATTGCAACTTATTGAACGAAGGACAAAGGGTTAAATAGATATTTAATACTAATTTAAATGCTCCCATCGCGTGCTTCAGTGAGTTTACTTCGACGTGATCCACATAGTATGTATTACCACCCATGAAAGCTATACTATTCAGAATTCAATAATATAGTTACGCCGTCCATCAATGATCGTTGCTTATTTTTCTAAATGGGAAATCGGAGAGTAGCCGGAAAGTGACTCATAAAATGGAATGGTTAAGATACTATTTTCTTGTCATGAAAGGAAATTTCACAATATAGTTAGTTGTGTTATACAAGGACCAACACTTCCATATGAAAGTAACTTTAAAATTTCATATCTTAAAAGTTATGCCATTTATGTTTCCATTACCTACAGAATGCCCGTCCTCTATATCTCATAGACTTTCGAATAATTGCAATCACGTTGTGTTTGGTTCTCACGACTGTTATTAAAACATTGAGAATCTTTCGCCGACAAATAAACGCGTAAAAACATATTAATAATATTTTATCTATAACAAAATCTAAATACAAAATGTGGATAAAAAATTCAAATTGTACAAAATCAAATAAAGAGAACTGCAAATAAAAACAAAACACAACACAAACATACAAACTTATAAAAACTAATAATGTATGGCTAAGTTAGGCTTTCAATGCATCTTTATTAGATGCTCCGTGTTTGCACACCTTTTTACCTCGAATTGCTACTTCATGAAGAGCATAAAATTCTACAATTGAATAGGCTAATAAAACAAACGGGGTGAGGATCCAGTGTAAAATATTTCTTGCTAAACATATATATTCTTTAACACCTAAAACTCTGGTCGCAAAGACATCAATAATAAACACAATCAAAAAACATAATTGTTGACAAGCAGCTAACCCATATATCCAATATTGAACATAATCTGGAATGCTATTTGTATCAACTAAAAACACCATTGACAGACTCATCGAAAGACTATACAAAGATCCAGAACAAAGTAAAATACCATAGTAAATAAGAAAATTAAGACCCCAAGACAAGGCGGGTAATTTGGGCATCCGAGGAAATTTAACAGCAAAGTAATGAAACACCTCAGCAGCCCCTATTGTCCATCGCCTCGCTTGGCGCGCCCATTCAATCACATCGATTTCAACAGTGGAACCACTTGTTGGACCACTAAGCACTGGAACTGGTAAAGCGCAGATGTGAATTCTACGTCTTGTTACGCCCATCCAACGAATTAAACAGATTATATCATCCATTTGATAAGCTGGATGAACATAATTTCCATCGATACATAGACGTAAAGAAAATGAAAATATGCTCATAGAATTGATATTAAAGGGTATTAAAGCACCAAGCATTAAAGTTGACCTAATCAGACCAGTTACTCTGGTTACAAATGAAGCACCATCTAAACCCCAATTATAAAATAAAGGGGCTTGAAATATAGTTGAATGTTTATAGTTAGTTTCTGTAAACTTTTGACACAATGCGTATGTGTAGTTGTTCGGAAACTGACTATCAGCATCACAGGTTGTTACAAGGATATTTTCAGGATTAAAATTATCACCCATTTCTCTCTGTAATACATGTACAGACTCTCGAAATCCATTATTGGCATTGGAACATTTTCCTGGAATTTCATTTGCTTGGCCAAAAGGATGAACTGCAAATATTAATCGAGCGAAGCCCGCAGTAGAGAATATTTTTCTTAGTTTCCGTGTTTTTCTGGACAAATCTGGTGTTTTTTCCTCAAATGATACGGTCATACTGATATTATGAACATCTTTCTGGTTGGCAATGGTTTGAACACTTCTTGCAATAAGATCAACTGGTTCTTTGTAACAACTTATCACAAATAAATGATGAACTGGTGCTTCAGTATCTAAATCTATCGAATTTTTCTTGAATCTGGAAAAAATGTATCCATAAAAAAAAATTAAACCTGTTTAACTTTACTTCAGATTACTCGTCCCATTGTTTTATTTGAAAACAGTAAATGTGACCATCCTTGCTAAATTTTAAACCATTTTTGCTGGTTGTCAAATTCTCTAATATAAGAGTTCGTTTTGCTATAATCCAACCTAGATACCAAACTTAAGCTTACCTGAAGATTTTAATCATATTTCTGGAAGCGAGACAGCAAATAACGATCCACATGAACACAAAAACACTTTGTATGGCAGGTAAAATAAATATACTGAGATAGTTCGATATGAAAGGTAACCATATTGGAAGTGATACAACACTCCACACCAATAAATTAAACAATAAATTCCAACGGAAAATCTGGCGACCCGGTTTGATAGGCTTGTGAGACAGGGGCATGTGTGTGGTTGATGATTTGTTCAGGTCAATTTCATGTGGATGTTCGTCACTTTTTGAAAATGGGGTGCATATTATCTTGTTGTCTCGGAGATTCTTGTCCTCTGAAGTCTGAATGATTTCTTCCCCTTGAGATGGAATTCTTAGATGTACACTATAGTTTGGACTGTTATGACTGTCTATCATTTCATCGATAGATATGTTAGATAGAGAGGAAGCCGAACTAAAACCGGTATCATGGCTTGTATTATTGTCATCTACATTTCTTAGTTTTATATCACAGTTTTGTTCAACATCAGATAAAGTTGGACGGCTTCCGGTACTCACAGTACTACAATCATCAGATTGGTTTTCTGAAGTCTTTGTGCTCGCAGTAAGGTTCATTCCAGGATGCATGTTATGAACTAAACTGTTGATGTTCAAAGTTCTGTAGGTTCCTTCAGAAACGCTTTGCACTAATGTAACATCCCCCATTATTTTATGATTTTCAGCATGGTCCACTCCTTGAGACTCGCTGTCCACAACTGCAACATCCCACTCCTGTTTGCCAACTTCTACCGATTCACTTCTATTCAATGGAGGCTTCATATTAATTCTTTTGTCACTAAAAATAGATATTATTAACATTGCATTTGAAAGATGGCTTGTCAGGCAAGTTAATATATGCCCACAAGCAGCTTTGATTTTAGAGGACTATTTGGCAGTACGGTAATAATTACCAGTATAAAATTTTAATCATACATTTCTTTCGAAATTCCGTGAAGAATTGTGCCTTATTGGATATGCTATACATTTCATGTGAGCGTATACAAACAGCATATCAAAATTTGACTAATGCAGATGAGATCTATCGTTAAAACCATTTCAAAGGGATGTAGTCATGTAAATTTTCACTAAAATGAAAATTTAGATTTAGTAACTCAAATAATTTTCAGTGATGGAGCTAAAACTCAATAAGAACCACGTTCACTGAGCTATGCAGTCCTTATTATGTTGTGTATATCATGTGGGCAAGAAATATAGCAACTATAGTAAATACAAATCGAAAGGATAACATGTCAATTATAATCAATGAAAGTTTCACATCCTATCCTCTGCATGTAATTGCGGTGGTCAATATTCCGAAAAACTGCCTTAATATATTCAATTTAAATTGGTCAACTTTGTTTATTAACTGATTGAAATTTTAGTTACTTTTGATCAAGACAACTTGACCTGTTATAAAAGCAAGATTATAAACAATGAAAAATATTCAAACAATCTATATAATCAAACAAATTTTATCATATGATGTACAATATTAGTCAAATATATAATTTCTACTTCAATTGTACCTATATGTATTTTGGATATTTCATTGGATGCTAAATATCGTCAATAATAGTTCCCTAGCTGAATACGAAGTTAAAATGTCATTCATTTCTTTGGATTGTTTGTTAGACAATCGTCATTGTAACCCCAATGAATGCTAATATTTGTATAATTAGACAATCAACCAAAGATTGAATAAAAAAGTATGGAGTTTACTAATTGATAAGGACGATGTGGATCTGCTTTCCATTTCATATTTTTGTACGCTTTATATTAGATATAATTAAATTCTTCTATTCAGATTTTCAAACTCAATTACTTTGTAACATACACTAATCAACATACTGCTCAATTATTACAGTGGTAAATGAAAAACAAATAACTATAATAATATATACCTTTGCTATTTCAACATTTATTGCTGCCTGACAGAAGCAACAAAATTATTAAATCTACAAATAAAATAATGATATAGGGAATGTTTTACCTACCTCTGAGAATAGATTTAGTATAATTTTCAAATAAATAGTTCAAAAACTGACATTCAGTAGCAAGCTGATTATATGGAATTAAATTTAATTTTCAGCGTATTTTTATATCATGGTTGATCCGGGAGTTAATGCATGACAAGCCAAACCTGTCGTATACGGGTTATAGTTTGTTGATGACGTATCAGAACAGAATGTTATTATACTTTAAAAGAAGCAGGAACTCTTATTCAACTCAAAGGTAGATATGTTTATATGTGTGTTATCATGATCAAAATCATATGCAATTACGAAATTGTGTTAATGTCTTTTATTATATAGCCTATGATTTGTTTTCTTCGCCGATAAAGGATTTGATATAAGTAATATCACGAACTGTAATATGTAAATTCAGAATGGTTATTAACAAAAGAGCGCATTAGGAATTCAACATTTGTTATGACCACTATGACCCGGATGTTTCGATGCAATGAACATTACTTAGATATTTATCATAGAATTTGTCGTGAGGCATCCAAACACGTGAAGGCCATGTGAAACAATCGTGCACAAGTAGTCATAGTAGTGAAATCACACATGTTTGACATGAAGGCAGTTTTCAAGGTTCTCTTTCTCGGGGGGTTCTCTTTTTGCCGGCACCTATTTTCGAGATTAAAATCAATAGCCCGTACTTAATCCCGAGAACATTGGGGATTATGACTATAGTCTATAATTCGAAAGGATTTTTTGTATATGAAGGCAAATAAGGGGGGAGGGTCTCATCATGGCCCAATTTTTTTTTCCTAATACTTATATCAACCAAAGCCCCTAATTCCTAAATAACGATTTACGACCGCATAAATTTACTATAATATACGTTTCACAAAAAGCCCGTTAGAGTGGCAACTAATCTTATAGTTTATAAATTAACTTAATAGTATAAGGCCTATTCTCTATAAACATGTCTACAAGTGGGGACATATGCATTTTTCTTTGGGCACATTTGATGCGTCACAGGCTATGAAAAAAACTATCCAACTAAGTATAATATACAAAATCTTATAAAACTACACTAAACGCGGTCTCTGCTAACATGGTCTCTGGGTAGTTGGAGAATTTGAAGTTTTTTATACCCCATACTACACGAGACACCCGAGACCATGCCTGATATCCAATCCTTCTAATATGTGGGGACATCGTGTTCATACAAAATACAATTTGGGGAAGCATACAATAACAGAATGAAAACCATCGCAGTAAATGAAATAAAAAAAACTTGAGATTAACTGCGCAGAAACCTTTGATGTCCGATGACAATAACTACTAACAGGAGCATATCGGAAATCGATTTGTTAAAAAAATTTCTCCAAAGTAATAATGATATTAGAGAGAATTTGGTTTACGGAATTGTTTTGCTTTACAGTCGTCATTTCCCCGGTTTTTTTTCAGCATGCTCAATTTGTTTGGTAGTTAACATAAATTTTGTCAAAAACATTTTTTAATTGGTAAATCACTTTTAGTAGGAATTAATCGGTTTCAAATTAAAGGCTAAAGTCACCATTTTTTTAGGTTGATAAGGGCCTTGAATATAATTATGTAAATAGTCTTTAAAAGTACCATAACAGTTCGAAAATCGCATAATTTCTTCAAAATTACCATAAACTTAAAATTTCACTTTTTATTTTCATTAGATTCTCTTGAAATCTACCTGGAAAATGGTGTATCAAAAACATTGTTGATAAAGTCTATAATAGAAAATACGGTGTACGGATAATTTTTTATTATCAGCTTACAACCCTCAATTGTTTTACATTGTTGCGGAGTCTTGTGAAGGGTGAGTCGTCACGGATAATTATGGATAAGCATGAATATGATGACTAGAATTTGGACGGTAAGCTTTGAACACCATCACTGTGTAGATTAGCTGAACAATTCATGTTTCTGACAGAACCTCCGAAAATGGTGAACCGTAGTCCTTATTCAACTTTTTGTAATTTTGAGATAATCTTCTTATAATTTCTGGTTAGATTTAATCATGTAGGCGTAATATGATTCAGTTAACTAAACAAAACATTTTTAATACAAATATAAATGGTCACGACATTATGCAACGTCATTCTTACTTTATGAGTCAAGCGAGTAGACTCGGAAACCTACAGGATATGAAAACGAGTTACGCGCTACTTTTTTAACAATTTTTTTGTAAAGAAATTAGATTAAAAGTTAAATTTACTAAATTGTAATTTTCTTCTATTCCTTACTGGCATTTTTTTCTGAATGATTTACTTTGGTTTCATCTTATATTGAAAATACCAAAACAACGTAGTTATGTCAAAATTTTGAACAAGGTAACAAATTTGCTACTGGAATCAACAGACAATACTACAACGTTCCTCTAAAACTGAGTTTTGTACCAATTCTACGATATTCGCAGAACGGATCACTGTAAGTTCTTACAAAGAGTATACTCTATTGTCTTTCATGAAAACAATCAACTATGAATATCCAAACAATAATTTGTTACTGGTTGTATTTCAATCTAAGTTTAACACTATTGACATTGAAAATTTTTGCAAGTGAATGTCCACTTACATGTTGTTGTGGGTTAAACGACTCTAGTCCTTTATGCCAGTTTCCTCTGATTTTAATTTTCGTTTACCTGGTGCAATGGCCACATCTTTAATCAAGAACTATTTTAACAATGAAAATATATATTTTGTATTTGTAGAAACTAAAGGTTATAAGAAAATGTGTCTTGGACTGTTTTATTATTAGATATTATTATTAAGATTTAGTACCTGGTAAAAATCACATTGTGGGTAGTAGATATACTTTAGTAGATTATATACATTGTAGTTGGAGCAGATTTCTAATATTCTTAATGTAACTCTTTTATTTATAAACATAACAGTAAGCAGACGTAGAAATTTATTTTTTCAGTCTGATGAAAATTAGACCAAATTCCGTATTGTTTTTTATCGGCTTTTATTTTCAACATAGACACCTCAGTTAGAGTCTAACGACAGCCCTTTGGAACATTCGTCAAATTAACCGTTTGACCTAAACACCGCGTGACAAGATGTATTATCATATTTTTTCTATTGCGTATTTAAAAGCGAAAGGAAGAATGTGAGAATAGCCTTTTCCTGTGCGACATAAATTAATGAAAGTTTTCAACATCAATGATGGACTTCAGAGAGGGAAATCTAACCACGTTTGCCAATTCAAAGAGTAGGACGCTTAATACAACTGTTATTGAGATACTCCACCTAAGAAAGTTTTCAATATAACATTACAGATCTGAATTTAATCTGAATTGTTTAAATTTAAAAGGGAAATGTACTATTCTTGTAATAAGATTATAGATTTTCGTACGTTGATCTTAATTTTAAACGAAGAAAATGCTGTAATGGTGTGAATATAATCAATTCTCAAGTCTATTCATCACATAGATCACGATTTATTGTAATAAGTTAATTATTGCATATTTTAGTCATTTGCTTAATCATTGTAGTGATTAATTGATTTGAGTACAGTTAGTCGTGCGTTGGTGTTTGCACGGAAATGAGTCAGTTTTATACATTAATATACACAATGAATAAACATTTACTGAAGAGGTCATATATTGATAAAATTTTAATTAGCTGTCTGTCATGACATGTAACAAGGTTTTTTTTAATAAATTTAGCACACAAAAGTAAATATTGAAACATAGGCCCTCGAGTACTATAAAATTGTTAAATTATTTCTGGTATAATTAACTTAAAAATACTAAATTTGTCAAAACAAATAAATAAATGTTAAAATATGCGTGGCTTGTTTACTTTATTTTTCAAGAAATCAGTGAAACGTTGAAGAATGTTGAAACGGCACTCTCATCGTTTATTTCCAGATGATTATAAAGATATTCTCTGTGAGGTAAGGTGTTTTAATATTGAATTTAATTCTATGACAATGAATACCACTAAACGGGCTTTAGAGACAATTTCAGACTATTCAAATGTTACACCCCCTTTATCCGACGATTGATTTTTTGTCAAAAAATCCCTACAGGTTAAAACATTCCGGGTCTGATTGAGATATCTATGAACAAAATATTTACAATTGTAATATATTTTTAGACCTCGTTTCGTTTCGTTCTGTAATTGAAACAACGATATTACATGTGAGGTGAGTACTCTTCAGAAAACAGATCTGTACAACTCGTTCTTTACTTCCAATGTACTTCATTGTGTTTTCAGATTAACTATGAGAACGGAAGCATTGATAGTATTTGTAATGGTCGGATACGTACCAGTAGAATGTGGATGGTTTACAAATTTTCTAGATAAGGTGTGTCCAATAGCTTGTCCCAGAGTTTGTACGTTTTTTGATGGTCCCATAACGTCTGTTATCTGTAAAGTGGTATGTACTTTTGGGTGTGGCAGCAGAGTGAAGCGTCACATAGCACAGGTAATTCAAACCGTATACAAAATCGGTGGAAGTATTTTTAAGCTTCTTCATTTGATACTTCTAAATGCAAATAGATATAATTTTCGTATTGTGTTTATTATTAATATTGGTATAATTCCAGAAGTTTATTATGTCTTGTACCATTCTTTCAGGATGGTACTATTTCAGAGACGAAAACGAAATAATGAAGTTGTACTTTAAATTGACAAATGCTGTCAAATATTTAAATCATAAGATACATTAACACTGTCTTATCGAATGTTTATAATGACCGGTTAATACGACCTTGGGCTAGATAAACAGCTGATTCTATACATAATTTAACGTCGGTTATTCAGTTATGTTATTTCCTATTAATAAGGTCAACAGGAGGTAACCTGTAAACACGTCACATCCTAGTTGAATAGCCTATATTTACCAGTTTTATTGTTCTCAAATAGAACGTAGATTAACTTCATTGATAACAATCCTAACCATCGTTTACATGACTAATCAATTTTTATTCATCAGTTAAGTTAAGTGAGCAGTCAATTTTCATTAATTTTGGTTGTCTGGTGTGTTGAGTATATGAAGATTAATGTTAACTTCAGTAATATTAATTACAGACAAAATTAGTCATAAAATTGTTTGAGAAAATCAAAATTGGTATTTTAGGTTATCTGTGAAGTAATCTAATCTATCCAGAAAGGTTAATTAACATGTTAACTGCAAACCGGATAAACCACTTCCCTTTTTTGGTATATTCAGCCCCATAAATCATGGTGGAATAAAAAGTAATATCTCGAAAATTGGCACATGAGAAGTTTATATTAATTACGTAGATTAAAAAATTCACATGAATTTTCAAAATAAGCTCCACAAATAACCATACATTTTACAAGTTTGGTTCTTTTCTTTCAGGCCACAAAAGGCCATATCATACCACTAGCTAATCGGTTCGATGCTTATGATATTAATGATGATGGTTATGTAACGAAGAAAGAATTGTGTATAGCTATATCTGATAATGAATCTAATCCACATATCAACAGAGCTTTTAAATTAGCTGATCGAAACAGTGAGTAAATATATCTTTTCTTTGAAGGCACTGGAATGGACACGGTTTGAATGCGTTTAGATCTTAGTCAGTTAGAATTTTTGAACGATTCTAGCTTTTAGCTATATCAACATGCTTTCCCTACAGACCTTACCAACTACAATCTATTGCCAGCAATGCATCACCCACAACTAGATTCTATTTTAATCTCAAATCTTTAAAAGTTAACAGTCTGTGAGCATCGTCAATGTTTGAAATTAGATTTCAGGCGATAGATTTAAGTTTAAAGTATCATAAGCTAAATTATGTGAATGCTGTGAAAGCTTACCTACCAAATATTTCACTTCAGTAATCAGCACAATCTGTTTTAGATGACGGTAAATTAACTTCAACGGAATTATTTCAAGGTCCATTTGTTTTCGAGATGGATTATGATTATGATAACAGTAAGTTTCCATTTAATCTGTATCAAAACATCTTAAATCATTATTTTATGTTCGGATAATTTATCTGGATGTACTAGTACCTTAATGATTTGTGTCTTGATTTTATTTTGGTGAGAAAAATGTTGGCAGATTCAATGCTCCTCTCGAAAATTAATTTCTATAGCGAAAGTATAAAGTAATGCTTCTCTAATGACGAAGTATTACTGACAATGTTTTGCCGGATATCCGAGTGTTTTTATTCATAATTTAAATTACCAATTTTATTATTTTCAGTTGAGTATTGTGAGCGCCTTCTGACAACTAGACCTGTTTATAATGTCACAGTTTCATAAAATAAATATATGTATCAGATTTTTCTTGAGATCTCATATCCTGTTATATATAGCACAGATGGGTTTCCCGCTTAGTATAATATATGTATATGTATTTGTGTATAGCATTAAATGTGTTCTGCTGTGAATGTCTTATCACTTAGTTACCTCCCTTATGCCGTCTGATACTTTGGTTTCGCGATATGAAGGTGATGACTTGAAAGATAATAATATAATCTTTTCCGTTTCTTACCTGTTTTTATACGCCCACATGAAATGGGGGACGTATATTGCCGTCACCCATGTCCGTCCGTCCGTCCACAATTGCTCGTAAACACTCAACAAGACACAATTATTGACGGATTTTGACAAAACTTGGTATGAGTGTTTGTAATCACTCAAGGATGAACCCTATTAAAAATCAAAAGAATCGAAAATTATGTAGTATACGTTATTGCCTTTGTTCTTGAAAACGCGTTCAATTTTTAGCTCGTAAACACTCTAGAAGACACAATTCTTGATGGATTTTAACGAAACTTGGCATGAGTTTTCGTAATCACCCAAGGATGAACCCTATTGAAAATCAGAAGAATAGTAAAATATTTAGTATGAGTTATTGCCCTTGTTCTTGAAAACTTGGTATGAGTGTTTTTAATCACTCAACAAGACACAATTATTGACGGATTTTGACAAAACTTGGTATGAGTGTTTGTAATCACTCAAGGATGAACCCTATTAAAAATCAAAAGAATCGAAAATTATGTAGTATAAGTTATTGCCCTTATTCTTGAAAACACGTTCAATTTTTAGCTCTTAAACACTCTAGAAGGCACAATTCTTGATGGATTTTAACGAAACTTGGCACGAGTGTTCGTAATCACTCAAGGATGAACCCTATTGAAAATCAGAAGAATAGTAAAATATTTAGTATGAGTTATTGCCCTTGTTCTTGAAAACGCGTTCAATTTTTTGCTAGTAAACACTTTAGAAGGTACAATTCTTGATGGATTTTGACGAAACTTGGCATGAGTGTTTGTTATCAACCAAGGTTAAACCCTATTGAAAATCAGAAAAATCGAAAAATATTTAGTTATATATATATATATATTTAGTTCTTGAAAACGCGTTGAATTTTTAGTTCGTAAACACTCTAGGAGGCACAATTCTTGACAGATTTAGACGAAACTTGGTGTGAATGTTCATAATCACCCAAGGATGAACCCTATTGAAAATCAGAAAAAAATTGAAAAATATTTAGTATCAGTTATTGCCCTTGCTCTTTCATATTTTTATTTAAAATCAAAGATGCCAGTGGGCGTATATTGCCTGGCAAGCTATCTTTCTTGGAAGGGTTGATTCTCCCAAATGTACAGGCCTAGGATAGAACAAATACTTCATTTAGAAATTGTAATAAGCTGTCTGGAACTGTTTAACATTTTTCTTCAGTTCTGATCTAAAATTCGATAAATGGTTTGCATCTAAACTAATCGTTCATAGACTAAATTAGATGGATATTAAATTATAATCTAGATTTACTATTAATCTTTCTCTTAGCTTTATTATTAAGAAGATAATTAGTCTCATCTAGTCTTTGATCATATCCAGTGATGTTCATTAATGTACAAAATGACACAATACCAGCAAATATTGTCAACTTTAAACCCATCCTAGTTATCATCACTGTATACTAGCTTCTATAAACCGAACACCAAATATCATACCAATATCTAGAGGACTTATCGATCCATCTAAGTGTACATGAAACAGATATGTGCTTGAAGAGGATTCCAACCATAAAAACGAAAGAAAATCCTTTGCATTTCACTACAAAAATTCTTAATTCATATCTCGATATGCATACATATTACCTAGGTAAGATGAGATAAGTTCGGCTACGCTTTATCTCTGAACTAAATCCTTTTCCGTGTATATGCGAAGGCAGATACATTATAGCACATCTTTGTTGGTTGTATATGCAAAAGCAAATTTGTTTGATCAGGATTTTTTGTTACGATTGGTCAATGTAAGCACAATGTTGAAGAATATAATGTTAGAAAATGTGTCGTGTGTGAACGGCTTCAGTTGTTATAATTGCGATAATATTTTGTTAAGGAGTTCATCCATATTGAAATTTCAACTTATTTTCTTGCTCTTCATATGAGAAGAGTGCAAACCTACAACTTGAAACCGTATAATGTTGAAGTAAGACATGATTACCCTTGTGAAATATATATACAAAAGCTAAATATCTTTTCGTGATAAGATTCTTTTTATAAAATGCTATTGTGAATTGTTTAAGTCAGATAAAGGCAATACGTGCCTTGATATTTAAATTAATAACGAGGTTTATGTTATTAATAACTGAACAAGTTCAAATATATAACAGTTTCCTTTTACCAAGATATGTACTCAGTTATAAAGAGTATAACAGTATAGTATATCACAATTGGACAAATGCGAAATTAGATCCGATCCTAACCAACCAATTTTATTTTCTTTTAAAAACATCTTTGGACTTTTACTTTATTCCTTGACCATTCTTCGCAAACATTCACGATAAACATACAAAAATATAGGAATGGAGATGTCCGTCTTAACTTTCCGGAAACCGGAAGTAATGCATGAGCCTTAATCCTAGCGTGACGCAATTTCGCTATTTAAATGCCCTTCTATTTCAAAACTTGACACTTTAGAGCTGTTTGTATATATTTTGATTTATTTGGGCTATTGCTATTGAATTAGAAGGATATTTCATTATATATAAACGAAATTTCAAAACAATAATATAATATTTGCTCAATATATCAATTGTAGAGAGATATACATAGAGGATCTTAAACCAGTGCTTATGTAATATGAATCTCGTGAGATTGACCTTTGCATTTTTAGTGAAGAATGTCCTTGACCAAAGCTTTCCATGAATATACTGATAATGGATGTAAAATATCAACTTTCCGATGTTATTGTTCTCTGGATATTTTCTTTGGTATATTAAAATTCCATGTGGTTTTCATAATCTGAATGAACTATTTATCCTCTTTTAACGATATGTGACATGGGTAGTTCAATACAATATTTCAAATAAAAATTTAAGTGGGATTTTAATCCAGGTATTTAAATGATTTACAACAACTGATGATTTAAAATTTTCACATCTTGTTGTGGAAACAGTGAGTAATGTAATTGTAAAGCAGATAAATAACATTACCCTTCTAATCATCTTGCAAAATTATAACTTACAATATTGGAGCATACATTCCTAAGCGATGGATTTGCAAATTTCTTAACTGTTCGAATATTTAAGGTATTATAATTAGAACTCCTTTTACCCGGAAGATGGACCCCGTTTTAGTGAAGATTCAATTGCGTATATTGGTAGCGGCCATTCTTTTCATATTATTAGGATGAGTCGGTATCCAACAGATTATGCTCACTTCGTTTTCTTTATATAAATATACTAGCTGAACTCGAATTTACGGAACACGGAAATAAATAGCTCTACTTTATTCTCCTATCAATCACACAAACACAAAGTTTTCAGGGTAGACAATATAATCGTATTAAACAGAGTTACAAACTAATTGGTCAGGTAATTACATAAAAAGCCACATAATCTAAACTTGTATCAAAACATTCCCCATGAGTTGTACAAAATAAAAGAATTATAAATAAAACAAAATTCTACTTCGTCTCTACAATAATTCGAAATAAGCAAGGCACCAAAGGCTTCTAAATGGACTTCAATTTGGCTCCAGGCCAATCTTCACAATTTTTCGTGACACTTCCATAAATTTAGGGATATTTCTCTACTGTAGTTATAAACTTGATTTATACACCACACACGCAACAGTTTTAATTCCTTGTTCTCTAAAGGGATGTAAAGATCCATATGGTCGAAAAGCCATGCGTCAAGTACCCCAGGCTCCGAAGTGAAATCACGAAATATCTGAAGGAATTTGCTTTGAGTTATTTGCCTTGACTTTGTCAAAATTGGCTTTTGAATTACATAAAGGATACAGGATAAAATAACTGGTTATTGGTTTCTCAATGTTTACTGACGCAATGATCCACGTTTACTTAAGCAAGAACAAATTCAAGGTAATCTCTTATCAAATATTATTTCATAAAAGGTTGATTCCACATTATTAGTCTAGTACTTTTTTTTCACCAAGATGGATTTTACCTTAAGGTGTATACTTTCCGCTTTGCTTATATTAGTTCATAATAATCTAAAAATCATACTTATATTCCACTGATTCCGTAATATTTTGAGTTGTTACAGGTGCGGCTAACTAATTAATATTTAATTAAGAAAGTTACAAAATGATATATATTAATCCGATATCTTAAATCCGCCTTTTGATAAAATGTAATACTTTCCAATGTAAACATGTTAATCAAAACGAACTGATGTCGCTTTCTGGATTCACGGAGTTTGATTTTAATCTTTCATTTCTTAGTGTACTGACTAATCAAACCCAACTCAAGTGGCCGTCACCCCATAGCGATCACCAGTTGCGTATAGTAGAGAATAAGAATAGTGGTAATATAGATCATGATGATCGAACCGATAGCCATCACAGCCATCGCGTATGTTCTGCAACTGAAATGGACCAATTTTATCCCTCTTAATACGATTTGAATGATTTCCCTAATTGAGTTAACTTTGATGCTTATTTCTTTTAATTGAAGTCAAGTCAAGTTTTACTTAGTAGATTATTTATATGTCCTTCCATACTATTCGACATCTAATACAATGAAATAGCAGTGTTTACCTAAAATAGATTTGACAAATGTAAAACCAAATGATAGTTGACAATAAACCAAGAAGAATATTGTATGGATTCAGATGACTCCATTATCCTTCATTAACTTGACTATGATAATATTATTACTGATAAAAAGGAAGTAACGAGAGTATTCATTTCAATAATATCATTTAATGTATGGTCTTTCCCACTCAGTTTATAACCAAAATTGTAAGAAAAAGGGGAAAAAACAATTAGATTCTATTCAGGAAGTCATTTTAGTCAGTAATCTGGTGGCAGATGATATATCAGAGACACGTCTAGAAATATATGTCTCGTGGTAAATTAAAAAAGGAGATAAGAGAAGATTCAGAATTGGTTAAGTCTTTGCTTCATTACTTTCGGAAATGGGCCTTTCCATGACATTAATCTAAGTAAGAAATACCCCACATAATACGTAAGAGAAATGAGCAGTAACTATTTACTATTTGTCCCCTCTTTCAGATATAACTAACACCTATAGGCCATCGATATTAACCCCGAAGAGTAATCAAGAAATAGTCAAACAGTGGCATCAGGAGTGTCTGTTGTGTTTTGAAAGCCCATCACAGTACCCACAGAACTATAGTGTCAGTGGCGGTTCCACGGGGACACGGGGAAGAAGGAGGGTCACTTTCAATTTTTTTTATCATAGTACATAGAGAAAGAATAGCCTGTAGCCCCCTGAAAAATATTGCAGCCCCTGCTCCCCCACCTAGACACAATTGGAATTTGTCATTAGATTAGATTTGGACCATGCACCTTCCAGTATAAGTATGCTGGTATGCTTCATTTCATGTACCCTGCACCAAAACATCTAATAAGGGCACAGCGTGTTTTAGGCACCCTGCATCTTCCTTGAGATATTTTAGACTCCACGACAAAAAAAAAACAACAAGTCAATATGATTTGGAATGTTTTTATTGCACTGCAATATCTCTGTTTGCAACATTTGCTGCAATATTTGAAAGAATATATATTAGTACATTACACATCCGGGTGATCTAGTGATTGGGGAAAATGGTTTAGATATATTGTAAGGTTAGGGACCATGTGCGACTGGGTAAAATGGGCAATTTTTTCACTCGATTCGTTGTGATAACGTAGACCTCGTTTAATATACAGGTTAGTGATGCTTTACACCACGATATGCAAATTATTTGATGTGTAAGTTAACATGCTTTAACTTTGATTCAATACTTTATAGTTTGATTGAATTGTCTAATCTGATATATATATAGCTTCATTTGCAATTTTTCCGGCCAATTATTCCGTTTCAATTGTAACTCCTGATATTCTGATACCCATGACCGATGTTTTGACTTATTTCAGACAAAACTGTATTTGAGGTAGTAACGTCAAAACTTGGTCGTCTTTGTGTAATAACATAACATAACAAGTCCCACAGGCGTCAGACTGGATTTAAGACAGACACATACATGTAGTTTACGATACATAGACTACTACAAAACGCCGTTTGAATTCATTGACATGGAATTTTGTCAGTGTCTGAAAAAAAAGTTTTATCCGTTATTTTATAATTCAGAATTCCAAACAAAGAAATGTCCTTCAAACATATATCACACAAAGAGACAGGACAATTCCCACTCTCTTTCACTCAAAACACAGTCAAATTCATGCCTCACATAAGCTATTTAAAGATTTATTCCTAAATCACCTATAAACATCTGCGTAATACTGTGCATTGGTAAACTCCATTGGCATGAAGGATATCACGATGGAAATAACGTATCTATAGCATATTGTTTTCTTAGATCTTGTACGACGCGGTGTCGAAACAGGGCGTTATTTCAGACAAGACTCAACACACGATATATATAAAGGAATGCCAGATTTAGAACTGCGCTGTTGAGACATCAAACCTCTGAGAGAAGTCCATTACCACATATAGTTTTATTTAAGCCCACTTTCATTTGTAGCGATTGTTTATTAGGTCTTCCCACTAAAGACAGTCTTCGGATTTGCGACTCTTCAAAATGGATATTGATTCTATAACAAGGCTTACAAAATAAATTTACAAAATTCCTCCAAAATATCGTATTAAATATACAGTAAATAACAAAATTTGACGCTGAATTCACTAAGAGTAATAAATCAGTTATTTCACGTATTCCTCGCTGTAAAAATTCTTCTTCATAATAACCTAAGCCTAAAAACGTGGACATTATGGCGTCCGGCGTAATACAAATTAAAAACACTACTATTACTATTATTAACATAAATGTAATTCTATGACGTCTAGAAGTTTTAGATCGACCTATTCGACATCTTCGAAGTCCGTAAATAATGCACGTATTGAGTATTATGAGCAAACAAAGTGGAATTATGGATCGTAGAAAGTTTTGAATCCATGTATATATTTTGGAAAAAGATTCGTTACTCCACAAGTCTGTAACAGTAATGTCATATTGTGAAGTTGTTGAATTGTTTGCATTTTCTATTGTTTTATACCTCATTGCATATGGAATGGCAAGTATACTCATACATATAAACACTGCTAGAGATACTGAGCGAGCATGCCTTATGGTACAATAACTTTTCACTCTGGTAGGGTGACATACGTAAATGTATCGTTCTACAGCAACAGAAACTGTTAACCAAGCGGAAATGCATAGCGATGCATTAAAAATGTAATGAGCGTAAGGATAGAGGAAGCCGTAGGCTTTATTTCCGGTTGGTGGATCTACTTCCAGAAGTAAAATTACCATGAAATACATAAAATCACTTAGGAGTTTTACACAGTCGGAGATCGCTAATGACATTAAGTACACATTAGTTGATGACGTCATTTGTTTCTGAGACATGACGATTATGCTAAGTGAGTTCCCTAATAATCCAATTATACAGATAATAGGGTACATCACCACACCAGTCACAAATCTAGCTTGAAGATAAAAAGCTTTATATTCTGCTGCGCGCAGCATGTCATTTGACATCAAACTTCCATTTCCGGTCGGTGATGCCATCTCCGTTGGTCGAGCAGATATGTTGGTAAGAACAGCAAACATTCAGTTACCTTCAGTGCTCCCTGAAGTGGAAAAAAAAAAGATTTCTGTATCATTTTAATATCAAGTTTTATTCTGGGCTATTTAAAATAGTTTAAAGTGTATCCATAATCATAATGATTAACCTATGCCAAGCTACAAAGGTGTCGGTTCATAAATACCAGCTGTAGAATATTGGTTTGATTTGGTCCACTGTCAATTTTATTTTTTTCGAATACATTCTAAAGGAGGAAAAGATGTTGAAATCACAGGGCTTAAATCGTGCATTTTTTACGCTTTGAAAGAGAATTCTTCCAATACTATTTCCACACTAAAAAAAAAAATTCTTATGCCTTAGGAGCCGCCACTGCTCACTGCATTTAGGAAGTGTCTTTATAGATATTTTTTCATTGTCCTCTTGTTTTACATGATTTGGTCCTAGAAATTTGACCAATTCTCTTTACTCTTTGAAACTGACCACCTATCGAACCTTTGGAAATTCATAGTAGAAATAGAGGAACATTTTTCCCGTTTATTTTGGGAAAATTGGAATGGAAAGTGCGTTAATAATCAAACATGATAGAACATACTTAGACCGTCTTATTCAAAATACGATATGATCCAAATAGTTCTCACAATTTCAACAAATCAACAGCTTTATTTACCACGATAACTTATAGACAACTTTCTACACAGATTGTTCGAATATGGATTGAGCGTAAGTAATAATGTCTGGAAAAATTTAATCGCCAATTCCGATCATCGTCCTCATCTCCCTCAACTCTAGACTGATTTAATATTTTACAACTGCCAAGTTAAATAATATTCATAATTTACAGAACCAATAAAATTGAAACCAAGTTGACAGGAACATACATGCGGTTGATCCGAGAATAAAATCGTATGAACAGTGTAATAAAGTCATTCCCGTCTACAGCCTGATTTGAGTGTAACATGACAATTTAATATCCCGAGAGAATCAAGCCATGTAGACCCAATCATAATTATATAGTTCTATACAGACCAAGACACATGAAATTTTGGTCATAAAGATGCTTTACTTTACAATAGATGTCGAAATAATTATTAGCCTGCATGAACCATAGAATATTGGATGTTATTGCGAATAACCTTTGCCTGTCTGTCAAACATATAGTTGTATCCGAAAGCATTTTAATCACATCTGGGAAAACCACGACAGTCTACTGTTTCCCCAAGACACTTATTTCATAGGAGTATGACATGAAACATGTTTGTGAAAACGACTAGCACTTGTTCACTCTCTCAAAAACTCTAATGTGTATATCTGGATGTAAACTTTTGCGGAATAATTTTTAACTCAATTAAGTGCTGAATACCCCTTCCTTATCTCTAAACGTGTGCCCTCATCCAAGACTTTAGTGAATTTCGATCATCATTTCACGATTTTGCTAACTTAAGTCCATAACGATAACAGTCTCTGTTGAGGGCTTGATTTGCTATATCGTTGTTGTACAATCCAACCAAATCGCTGATTGCTATTTCAGTCAAGTTATACATGTAATAGCTTGATTTCGTGAAGATGTACCGATGTGGTATGCATCAAGTTTCATCACTTTTCATATATAACGAAATTATTTCTGATTAAAAAATGAAATATAGATCTACCTACCAAACACAAAATACCAATGAAAAAACAACAGAATACAACTTAAAATGATGTGGTTCTTTTTTAATCTGTCTAAACCAGAATCAATAGCATTAAACGAAGGAACATGTTGCAATAAATTTGTTCGGGTTAGAAATAGAATTGATTAATTGACCTAGATCTCTCGATGGAACAGTGACAATGATAAAGAGTTAAATTATAGTAATTATAGAGCGACTTATTTCATTAGTAAAACAATCTATGACTGTCCAATACTAATCAGATAGTAAAATAGTGTTAGTGGTATTAATACAATTCTCTTCAAACTGTCTAGAGATGCTAAGATAAGGTCAGACAATGTCATACACTTTTTGCAAAGCTGTGCAATTAAAAATCAATTAATGAAGTGACTCGAAGTCAAGTAGTCAATATATTTAATCCATTGTTACTAAAATTGGCATCTGACCTATTTTTCACCAATATTCAATAAAAAGAAGTGCTTGAATAGGTGGAAATGATAAGAAGTGGATAATCATCACACTTTAGAAAGCATTAGAATTAAAAGCATATTTATTACGACGAAATTTTTACTCTAGACCAATTCAATTACCCCCAGAATGAAAATCCTTGAATTAGAGGAATCAAAATAGTTAAATTCTATATTTTATTGTACCTAGTGTGTGTCCTCTATTCTACAAAATTCCGTCAATCTATGAAAGCCAATCGGAATGAGCTACAGCAAGACCGTTCCACACGCCACCAGTTATCGAGCAAATACGACAGTTTATGCCTTATATGAGAGAAATTCAACTATGTCTATAAGCAAGAAATTTTTGGAAAGAGATTTAACTTCATAATCCTCACTCTTATTGTGTGTAATAAAACTAAGGAGAAGTATACCATTAAATTGTGTCCGTTATTTGATGTGATCTCTACCTCTAAATGTCGCTAAAGGATTAAGGATAACAATTGTGCGCATCTTCAATAATTTAGACTCTGGAGTTTCATAATGATAATTATCAGTTCCATCAGGACTCATTAAGATATAACGATAGCTAAAAGTACTCCGTAAATTAGCGAATTGTTGCTATTCTAAAGCTAAGGGGGGATATTGGTATTTGTTAATACTCAGTTATAGTTTCAATCTTTTTACTATCTTTATTTATTACCATACTTAAACTCGTTTTTCTTATCTATACGGTGCAAGGTGTAAGGTATTTTCACGAATAAAAGAGACATACTTCACTATGAATTTAATTTCCATCAAGAAATCAAGAAGCCTATATCAAGCCAAAACGTTTTTCCAAAACTTTTGGCAACATTTCCATTAAAAATGTTATCAACTGCTGTAGACTACAGGCTGTGAAATATATTATGATATCTCGGTGCTAAAACAGATTCAATACCATATTTCGTTAAGTGTTTTACTAAGACCGACATTTCATCCATTTGAATATTATTTCAAAGTCCATGTAAACATGTTTTTGTCCATTCATATGGAACATGTTCATTAATAGTACCATGTAAAATCATTGATTTGGAAGATTGCAAGGAACAAGCAGACATTTATATCCGTTTATATTTGAAAAAAAAAAATAATAAACAATAAATGCATACCGACCGATTTGTTTCACTGTAGGTATTCTTTATGAAACATTTGAAAACATTTCATCCACTATCTCCCATGGGGGTAGGTATGTATATTAACTCTATATAGAACAAATTCTAATCAATTTGCCTACAGCAACAGTCATAAGTTATGTACATAAGCTACATGACCTGATATGCAGATGCTTTCGATGTTATACCCGCTTTTACTCTTAACTCAACGTTTGGTTGCTACAAAAAAATTACTATATTGACATTTGAAATTAACAAAACTCTCCTATTTCCACAACATTAAATGAGCTATGCCTGACTGCTAGAAGTCATTCTCGTGCTAGCCTCTCGCTTAGCTCCTTATCATAATCTTTCAATGTAGTTCTGAAATATTTATTACAACCTAAATTGCAAGAACTCCAAATTTATATAGATATGTACCATTTTAAGCTCTTATCAAATACATTCTTAATTCTATTTTCATATTTAATCTGTCTTAACCGTATGGAATTTCAAATTGTCTAACCACGAAGAATATAAGACTAATTCGACAAGAATATATATAGTAGTTGTAATTTGATATAGAAAACAATGATTATGACAAATGGTATCTTATAAGAATGTTCAATATCCAACCTACGCAACATTGACAATTTACTTTTTTGTACTCCATAGATCTGCTTAGTACATCTATAAATGACCTTTAAAGTAATTAAATATCAAGAAAGGTAAAAGAGCAGGAGGAGTTGAACCCAACTTTAGAACCTATAAGGGTTGCGGGAACTGACTTTTAACTAAAGTATATTAATATTTTCGCCATTAGCTTTTTTGTCTGATGTTTTTAATTCGATGTCAAGTCTAATAAGAGACTGATACATTACGAGGTCTGGATCTCTTCACAGAATGACTAGTCCCAGCCACATCTATTAACCAATTCTTCTCATATTGTTGATTCCTGATTTTGAAGAAGTCATTTCATTAAGTAATAGAGGACTGTCACATATTATTTCCTTGCTTTTGTCATTTGTCAGTAATCTCAGAGGTAGCGAGGGATAATTAGGTAGTTATTAACTTGTTATAAGAGTCCATCAAAAGTCTCTCTAGGTGATAGGATTGATAAATGTTGCTGATTTCAATAGTCATTTAGTTGCCATTGGTACAAGCATTTCTAATACTAACATGGTGAAATTATCATTAAACTTGACACCATGTAAATCACTAATTTCCTCTGTTGATGAATGTAGTAATGCAAGGGCAACCATCATCACCGGATCGATTAGGCAGAACAAATCAAGTTCGAATTGTTTGCCATTCTCGAAAATGATTGGTCATAGAGATGTTCAGTGAAAGCCAAATATTAAATATGTTTAGATATGATTTCAATCTAACAAAAATCAACTACACAGAAACAATCATTTCATTCAAGTAATTCTCGTTATCTATTATTGACCATATTAAATACACTTATTCCAAACATTTAAGATTGATAGAAGAGACCCAATCTGTTTTGAAAGTGAAGAGTATAAGTACATGCCGATACTATAATATGTTGAAGGTGACAACATTACCCCTCTTAGTTCGTGATGTGTTTCCACATATTTTTACATATAATGTGTGTGAAATATGGATGACAAAGCATAAGGGCACGTGATAAATAAAATTAGAGCCCTTTTTTACATGATGAAATGTTTTTCATGAACTTGAGGGACTCAGAAATGATCATATAAAAGTACATCCCATTAACGGGAGACAATTC